GATTTTTAGAATATTTTTTCCATTTTCTTATAGTTAAATCTATTTTTTAAACACCTAGAGATATTTTCACGAGCTCTAAATATTTCATTTTGAATTTTCACGTCCAAATCTGTGTCCAGGATTTTTCTCAAAATTTTTAGAAGCTTAGAAATATTTTATACAGTTTTTTAAAACCTTATCAAATATTTACCGGATTTTTTAACTAACAAATATGAAACCTACCTTCAAAACCAATTGAAACCAAGGCCGGGAGATAATTGGAATGAATTTAAGAGTTTGGGGTAAGATAGATATATGGTTTTAGAGTTTATAAGGAGAAAAATCATGGTCCGGACAGAGAGTTAGAATGAATTTTTTCGCTAACTTTTTTTTGTGAAAGAATTTTTTCCCTAACTGAAACATGCTGAGTGGGCCTTTGTGTCTGCCAGCCTTAGTGGGCCTTCAAAGGCTTATGTCATGGCCAAGGTTGGGCTAAGACTACCCCCCTCGTACGAATATGATTGGAACTGATTATAATCCGTCTCAGAAAAAAAAAATGGAATTGATTAAGTTGCTCATATGTAGGAGTACATACAAGCAGTAAATATCTCAGAAATCTGAAATGGAAATGATTTTCACCTCTGGCAGAGGGCTCCGGAAATCTTCCTTGTGCAACAGAAGAAAACCAAATTTGCCAAAGGCACCGACGCACCGGGCGCTGCAAGCATGAGACTGACAGATGAGACCCGTGCCTCCCGGCGAGGTGACGCCAGCATGACGCACCGGTGACGCCCAGGCCCAGGCCCAACAATGTGGGAACGGGACCAACGGGGTCGCACGCACGCCCGCACGCTGCAGCGGCGGCAGGTGAGCGCCTGCAGCCGCCAGCCGACCACACCTGCGCCTGCGCTGCATCACACGAGGCTTGTCCTCTTCCCCCGCAGCAGCACCCGCTGGAAAGAAAAAGCGAGAGAGGTCAGTCAGCAATGGAGACCACCGACGACCAACAGCAGAAGAAGGAACTCGAAGAACCGCCGCTCTGGCGGCTCTGGGCATCAGTCCAACGCAGTGCGGTCCATGGAAAGGCTTCCAAACGCTAGAGCTCGCTGCGGGCATGCCGTCACGGCATCAGTTGTCCTCCTCCTTGTATACAGACAGACACCGATGAAAAGTGACAATGACGATGACGATAACGGAGATGCCCATGCCCATGCCCAGGCAGCAAAATACAAAGTCAGAAACCACCTCTTCCTCTTGCCTCTTGTGAACAGGGCTAACGTGTGGCAGGTGAACCTGCAGCAGAGCATGATAATGCTTGCTCCCCTGTCCCAAATTATCTGTCGGTTTTGGTTTTCGTGGCATAAATTTGACTCGATTTGTAGAAAATACGTGCAACATTTGTATCTCCAAATAAATTTATTAAAAACTAGATTCAAAGATCTTTTCAATGATATCAATTATGTACTATAAATATTAATATTTTTAATATATATTTTATCAAAGTTATTTATCGGGAAGCGAAAACGATAGATATTTTGGGACAGAAGGAATACTTATTACTGGCAGCAAAAAGGAAGAGGTTAGTGAGGTTACAGACTACAGAGGGCATATGACAGTGCTGATGATGCATCATCATGCGTCTAATGATGTTGGAAACCTCAGCAGCTGCATTTTTCAGAGATCATAATGAGTAAAAAAAAAGGGGGCCACGATGAGAGACCATAAGATCTTTTCCTCAGTTGGTGTTTCCTCTGTTCTGTACATTGTCGGCACTTGTCAGGTGCAGCTATATCTGCTGAAACATTCTTCATCCAACTGGCGATGGCATTTTGCAGGCGCAAAGCTGAGCTACAACCACACTGTAAAGAACATCAGCGATCAGAGTATGTATTCGGCTTGTGTTTATTTAGGTTTCAGTGAGACTGTGAGAGGTAGAATCTTATTAAAAAAGGGATAAAGAGATGAGTATTAGGAATAAGTACAGTTACCAAAGTCTACGTACTCCTGCAGGCACCATCTTAAAAAGGCAATAGTTTAACAGGAAGGGATTAGTCCGGCAATAGTTTATTAGCAGGGAGGGATTAGTCCAACCTGATTAAATACTGCTCAGGTAGCGACACTAGCTTTTGGACTCATCTTTCCTACAATCTGACAATTGGTAGGAGAAGAAAATAGCACATCCAACTGCCGCTCTAAAGCGTCAACAAACAGCCTGAGATTTTGGATGAAACACAAATATCAGGTACGGAAAATGGTATTGTTATTGCCTTGATCACGACCTCTTCATCATTATTAGTGGCTTCAAAATATCATGCAGGTCTTCTTACTGAAAAAGTTGCAGCTTCTGTTCTGAAGTATTGTAACACCAATTTATTCAATGTGAAAGCTACATGTAGGATCCCATTGCTATCCTCCTGATACTACTCTCTTTGCATCCCAGAAATATAGCTCGCTGTTGCACACAAGTCAATCAATTCATCATGCGTAGAGCAATCCACGATCATGTTGCCAGATTTAGACTCAACTGAATTATATATGCATTCCAACAATGACTGCCGCATTTCTTTCGAGTTTGCACGCAAGATGCCAAGAACAAACCAGAGTAAAGCTTCTGGAATGACACTGACCAATGTAGCATAAAATTGAAACAATGGAGCTAGGAGCCCAATATCTCCAAAAAAAAATGATCTGAGCACAAAAAAAAGGATGGCCTTATCTCCTTTTTAGAATTGCCAACGAACGGCACATCTGCGAAGTGAATCACATGTATGTTGCAACACAAGTTACTCGAGAATCAGAAATGGTCTCTATCACCCATACTGCACAAATTGCACGAGCATGACATTTGGATAAAGCATAAACCCAAATACTGCAAATTCATTAAAGGGTGTACCAAGTGCAAAGAGCTCCCGCTCTGTACGGGGTCCAGTGGTAAGCCTTACCCTCGCCTGTGCAATACGAGGAGACCTTCTGGTCACAAGCGATAAGAGTCTACCACTTGCACCAAACCCGCCCTTCATACTTAATGAATACTGCAAATTCATTAAGTACGTAAAAACGAAATGTCAGAGTGGGAAATCGGTTTTAACCGAGACTTCGTTCGGTTTGCTCGGTTTACATAAATTTCGGTTTCCGAGAAAACAAGAGCCGATCGGTTTCTTGCAAAATCAAAAACCGACGAGATCGGTTTCGGTTTCATCGGTCGGTTTCTCGGTTCCACCGAACGGACAGCAAAAGAGAGAGGAGAGAACTAGAGGACCTCATGCTCCTTTCAGAAGCCCGCCGGCCATGCCTCGCAGCCTCCTCGCCGGCGCGTCACGCCGCTGCTGGGGAGCCGCCGCCGCCCGTCGGTCGTCGTCTGCTGCTGGAGCCAAGCCGTTTGGCTCGCCCTCGCGGTACAAGTCCGCCGGTGCTCGCCATCACGCTTGGGCGTGGCCCTCCTGCCAGCGCCTTGGCTCTCGCAATCGCAAGAAGATGCGCCTTAGGCCCTCCGCCTCGCTTGCTGAGCGACGGCGACGCTTCGCCGGACGCCACCGCCTTTCGTTGCTCACCGCCGCTGCTTGGTGGATACTGCCTCGCCGGGCGCCGCCGCCTCCGGAAAGCAGATCGCCCTCCTCACCGGCGCCCCCGGCTGCCGCCGGGGCCGCCTCAGCGCCATGGCCCGCGGCGCCGCCACCGCTAGGTTGGGGAGTATGCCCAGTGCGCGTCTTGAGAGAGAGGCGAGGGCTTCTTTGGCGCCTGTGTGTGGGAGGAGAGAACTGGAGAAGAGTTGGGCCGCTGGGTGCTTCCACCGTGGGCCAGAGAACGGAGTTGAGGGGACTGTGTGGGCTGTGACTGTTTAGCGGTGGAGACGAGATTGTTTGCATCACTTCGGTTATTCGGTGTCTCGGTTCGGTGGGAGGCTGGAACCGAGGCCGAAGCCGAAGACCGAAGTTCCCAGAATCCAAAACCGAAACCGAACCGAGGAACCGAAAACCGACATTTCGGTTCGGTTTCATTTCGGTTATCGGTTATCGGTTTTCGGGTAATTTGTGCCCAGGCTGAACGAAATGATACGCTATCTCCATGATCAAGACCTTTTCGATACCTTCAAAATATCTTGCAACTTGTTTTTCCTTTTCTCCATCGAGAAGGTTGAGGCTTCTATTCTGAAATATGCTATCCATTCAGGCCCAATTTTATTTAATATAAAAGACACATCCAGTTGGTCCTATTCTTGCCATTATAAGCCGGCTTATCAGCTATGGTACAATATTTTTTTCTTCCAACAAATCAGCCGTACAAATCAGCGCAAGTGGCTTATAAACCAACCGAACAGAGCCATTCACTTTGCAACTCATAATAAATATATTGATGTCACACATGTCAATCAATTCATAATGCAGATGAACAATGCACAATATACCACTCATAGACATATTGCCAGATTGAGACACGCATTACATGAGCCCATTTAGAATTCTGAAAAATCTGGCTTCTCACAAATTGATCACCAAGGCTTTGTAGTTGTTGTGTCGCAATTCGATCCCCGCATTTTTGCCACCATTATTGTCACATTTCTTTGCACAATAACATTGATAGAATAAAAGTCTAAGTAGACCTCCAAAATGAACCATGGAAAGAGCAGAACACGATAATCCAAAGATAAGAACCAAGAAATGTGCAAAGTTAAACTACATATATATTTTTTTTTCTGGTTGTTAGCATTGTCAATGAAAGTCACATTTCTAAAGCGACACAAGTTGCTCGAGAATTAGCTGCACACAGACGTGACACTATCAAAAACGCGACGATATACACCAAATGCAGCATCAAAACATGGGAACAAGGAATCATCTTTACCTAAAGATGACACCTTCCCTTTCCCTTTTATGTAATCCTTTACAGAAGGATACACATTTTATACTTACCACTAGCTGATCACAAGAGTGAGCGAAAAAAAAAACAAGAACAGGATAGCTACCTAGCACCGCCACATTGCGAGATCAAAGCCAAGATGATGATGATGATCTTGACAGAGCTCAATCGGCATTGAGCATCGGTGAATCGAGGCCCTCCATTCGGCTGCGCACGATGCGGTGGAAGACCTCCCGGACCTGTCTCTCCAGCGGGTCCAGCCCGTCCTTCATGGCGGTGCACGCCGCGGCGAGCTCAGCAGCAGCCTCCCGCACCTCGGCTTCCCGCTCGCCGGTGAGTGGGACAGGCGCGGCGTCGATGGCCTCTGCGAGCCTCTGCGCGCACTTCTCCAGCGCGTGGATCTCCCTGACCAGGCCGCACGAGTTGCGTCGGTCCTTGCGCTTCCCTTCCTCGGCGAGGCGTTCCTGGAGCGCGAGGAGCGGCGGCGCCCAGGGGAACGCGGCGCGCGGCGGCGGGGGCGGGAGGTGGTGGTGCGCCTGGAGCGCGGCGGCGCGGTCCGGGCAGGGCACGGCGGCGACGAGCGCCCAGGCGACAAGGTGGAGCAGGCAGCCCATGGCGGCGGCCTCGTTGGCGCGCGGCATGGCCAGGGCGGCCCCGATGGCCTGCAGCTGGAGCGCCGCGGACCAGGTGTGGGACACGCTCTACGAGAGCGAGCGGAAGTGCGCGGAGCGCAACGAGGAAGTGGAGGAGGAGGAGGAGGAGGAGGCGAGGGACGCGGCGCGGGAGGGGGACGGCCGCGCCGGCCGAAGGAGCGGTTGCGGTGGGACGAGAGGAACGAGGCGAGCCCGCCGCCGGCGCCCACCGCGGCGGCGGCGGCGTCGTCGATGAGGAGCACGGAGAGGTCCGAGAGCGCCTTCCGCGCACGCCGGAGCTGGCCCTCGTGGATCTGCTGCCTCTGCCGCCCCTCCTCCTCGGCGCCGGCGGGAGCCGGCAGCAGCGCGGAGGCCGCGATGCCCGCGAGGCGCTCCCAGCGGCGCGCCTGGTCGACGCCGTCGCGCGCCGCGTTGCAGACGTCGAGCGCCTTGACGGCGCGCTCGCCGAACTCCACCACTAGCTTCTCCGCTGCGGGGGACGTCACCCCGCCGCGGCGCCGGCGCGCCTCGGCCACCTCCACACGGAACTCCTCCTGGCACAGCAGGAACGCCTCCAGCAGGCGCCGGATCCACGGGATGGACATGAACTCATCCTCCTCCCCACCGGCCCCGGCGGATGACCTCAGGTCGGCGAGGTGCGCGGCGACGTGGGCGTGGAACTCCTCGAGCTCCGGGTCGACGGCGGGCGGCGGCGGCATCGCGGCCGCAGCCGCGGCGGGGGCGTCGCGGCGGAGGGAGAGGAGGGTACGGCCGAAGGAGGAGAACGGGGAGGAGTGGGCGTGCGTCGACGGGGAGGAGCCCTGGAGGTCCGTGGCCGGCATGGTCTCGTTGTCGTCGGCGGACGAATCAAAGCGCGGATCTTGGAGAGGGAACGGCCGGTAGGGTAGGAGCGGGGGGTTTTGGCTCAGCGGGTCCGCGGGCACATGGCGGCTCAGCTCAGCTCGACTCAACCCAAGCAGGCGTTTTTCCGGTGAGATTGGATTGCGTGGGGGATGCGTGCGGCGCCGGTGGTGGTGGTGGATGAGTGAATGGTGATGGGGAGGGTGGTGGCGTGGTGGTACGTATATATGTGTGGGGATGACGCGATTAGGGGAGGGGACTAGTTTATTGGTTACGGAAGGTTTGGGAGGAAAGGGTCCGAAGCTGGAAGCTCTCGGCTGGGCTAATCATGGCGGTTGGAGTAGTTTAGTGGCGAGGTGGAGTACTAGCAGCGCTTTTATTTATTTTTGTGGGCACAAATATTCCTCTGGTTTCGGAATGTTTCCGGTTTTTGTTTAGAATTTTTTTGATTATTAGGGTGGTTTTGCTATAAGGGCCCTTGGGAAGCATTGTAATTGCTCACGAGTGCTTGGTGATGAGTTGTGGTGTCCATGGGTTTTGTGTCGTGACATCGAGTTAATAATGGCCCCGAAGGATTGGGAGGGATTGTTACCTAAACACTCCTGCATTTATAATCGTAAGTCGTTTTCTTTTTTCTTTTTTTTTAACTATCATAAGTCATTTTCTAGATCCATAAGTTTTGCTATGTAACCATACATAGACCTATGTTTGGATGCATAGCAAAAGTTAGAAAAGTAAAAAAAACATCTTAAAATTTTGGTTGGACCATTTATGTTGCTTTTTGTGTATCAGTGTAATGGTAGCGTGTGTATATACTATACAATAGTAGTAAACTAGTACTAAATTCGTTTTAAATTATAAGACGTTTTGATACATTGATTCTACTATGTATTTAGACATAGTGTATATGTGCGTAGCAAATGCAACGTATTTAGAAAAATCAAGAGGACTTATAGGCCACGTTCGCTTCGCTGAAAAAATAACCTGAAACACTGTTTCGGCTAATTTGCTGTTCCAGTTAAAAAAACAAACTGAAAAAGACGGATTATAAGAAAAACGAACGTGTCCATATTTTGAAACGAAAGGAGTATTATATTGTATATTCATGTTTCGATTGAACGAAGCATGAAGCACCATTCGTTGTGAAACCTCGGTTGATCTCAGAGTTGACGTGGCAGGTGGCAGGTGGCAGGTGGCAGGTGGCAGGCGTGAACCGTGCAGAGACGGAGGAGTAATTAATTAATACTACTATAAGCACTAAGTAAATACTAGCAGGACGGAAAATTAATTGGGTGAGCAGGCATAAGCGCATGTGCGCTGCGAGCTTACCACAAGTAGAGGACGATAAATTGGGCGCGCTCCACGTACCCATCCGTGGCAGCAGCAGCCAGCAGGCCGCGATGGCGTCGTGATCGTGCGGTGCGGGCAGGACGCACGCACGAACGCGAATTCGGCGATCTGCAGGGACGGATCGGCAAAAAAGAAGGATCCGGCGTGCGTGCGACGGGACACGGGAGGAGGCGCGGCCATTATTTACTCGTCTGGTTCTTTTTTATTAGAGAAGAAATAATAAGGTGTTGGTTTTGTTTAATCTGTAATCAGACGGGATCGCTACGGATGGTGGAGACCAGTCGAAACAGTCCAGATCCTTCGCACGGCCAGTGCTGGCCCAGTCAAGTTGGTGGTCAGGTCTGGCTTCAGCAATCAGCAGGGAGCAGGATTTGGTTATGGTGATTGATTAGTCAAAGAAACCGAGTTGTTTGTGTTCTCTAATCTAATCCACGGCTCCGCAGCCAGCAGCAGTACTGTGACCGCGGCGGACGCGGGCGGGAAGGGGAGGAGCGGGGGCCACGCGGACAAGGACACGGCTGCGGGTGGTGGTGGTCTAGTCGCTACTCGTGGTTGACCCAGTGGGGGACGGATGGGGAGAAGGGAGACCGGGCGCAAGGCAGTGCCCAGTGGGTGCGTTCATCAGACTTGACACCGGACGGGGTGGCACGTGCCGTCGCCGCGCGTGCGGAGAGAGAGAGAGAGAGAGAGAGCCCGGCCGTTCACTGCCTGTGGCTGATGCTGCCTTGAGCTGGGCCCGTACAAGCCTATTTTCCTACACTCAGTATTTTGCTTCATGTTTAGTAGGTCATTCTTAGTGTATATTTTTATTTAATAATCTGTCATATACGTATGTGTTTTCTATCACGCGGTAACGTTTTTAAAAAAGAGAGGGAGAGAAATGAATTGTATGGAGGAAGAAACTCTGTTAGCGCGATCATTAATTATCCATGAGTCATGAAATTAGGTATTTATGAAATCATAGGATAAAAATTTCCATTGAGAATAGGTGTTTTAAGCGAATTAAACATGATGGCTATTTGCCTACAGCATTTGCTTCATGTTATGTCGTTCTTTTTTTTTCAAACTGAGGGATCACTCCGTTCCATCAAGGACATAACGGAAATACATCGTTCAAGAGTATATCAGGAGAAGCATAGGAGATGGAGGAAGCTAAGGAGGCCAACATTAATAATATGTTTATGTCCTTCTTTGTGTATATTTCATTTAATAATCTGTCACATAGGATTTTATGGATGAAAAAGCTCTTAGCACGATTATTAACTATCTATAAGTCATGAAATTAAATATCTATGAAATCATAGATTAAAAGTTTTTATTGAAAATGGGTGTTTTATCGACGTTTCATTTTTTTTATACAACATGGTTCTCTTAAAAGCAACATCGCAAAACACTTTCGTTAAGCACTTCTCCTATATTTCAGGTGCCTGAATTTTAAGATGATTTCAGGCAATACTTTTGTACCTCTAACTAGTACAAGTAAATTGTTACTTTTATGATTTGTTATTTGTCTTTATGTCATAGCATATCAAATTTTGTCCTTGTCTTCTTATAGAAAATAATTGTTAATTGTTTTTGTGCCAACACAAATCATATTTTGTCGGATTTGTGGTTTTGTGTAGCGGGTTTTTTTATTCTCGGTTCCAAAATTGCAGATTGCGTTTACAGAAATCACAACAGACGAAATCTGTAATTTTAGTATAAAATATATGCAATAACCGTGGTCTGGAAGGAAACTAAAATTTAGACGCCTGAATTTTAGCAAATCCCTTCATTAAGAGTTACGATTAGCCTTATTGCTGCATTCGAACTCGACGGGGTACAGTACGTTGTGACTGCTCCAGGGAGAGCACAGCGCCGCACAAGGCGTACGTGGCAGCCTAACACACGCGTCACAGAATCACCGACACGACCCGGCCCGAAGCCTACCAGGAGTAGATAGTTACAAGTACGTATGTATCGATCCGGCCAGCGAGGTCGAGGCGTTCCACGTACGTACTATATACTAGTCTACTACTACCACGTTATATGTACCACTACAAGGGCAGTTTACGCAGCCTGAGCGAGGTTAGTAGTGCGATCGTCTTCCTTCGACGGACGGACGGACGGACAGATCAGAAAGGGCGGCCACCACGTCAGCAGCGTGCAAGCGAATGGGAAAAGTGTCCATGTTTGTATATTTTTTTTAAAGGACGGTAAAAGATTTACCACGATTTTTATTAGATGAGAAAACCAAAAAGGCACCGAAACAAGAAAAAACAACTGCAGCTTCAACCGGGGTCAAAGGAAATACCAAAACACAAACCCCTAATAACTTCTAGACGAAAGAGAATCCATGCTTGCATTTGGCGTATCGTTTTATTATTATTTCGTGACTTGTATAGCTAGTAGCGACGAACAACGGTAGCGGAGGCGTTGCTATCCGAAACCGAATAATGGGGGGGGTTCGCCCGATCCACTTGTTGCCTGTCCCCTTCGTAACGCAGTGCCCACTGTACCCGATGACGTGGACGCCTCCTGCTTGCCTCGGACAGTCGGACCTGACAGGGCACCAGTATTTTTTTTTCCCTGGGCCTTTAGATTGTAAGTTTTTTCACTTTCTTCATCACATTAAACCTTTAGACACATGCATGGAGTATTAAATGAAGATAAAAAAATAATTAATTACACAGTTTAATTGTAAATTACGAGACGAATCTTTTGAGGCTAGTTAGACCATTATTAGACAATAATTATCAAATACAAACAAAATACTACAGTATACTGACTCCTAACTTCAACCTAAACGAGGCCGTGGTCGAGTAAAACTTGGGCCGTACCGTCGTGATCGACTGACGGGGTGGGTTGCAGGACCGCCGCGTGGTGAGTAAACCCTAGACAGGGACGCACGCCTCGGCGTCTAGAATATGATATGAGGTCCCTTTCGGATCTTCTTTTTCTCTCGACCTGCGCTGCGCCCCAAGATTTGGCTGCAGCTGCAGCCGCAATTTATATATATATGTACAACTTTATTATTTATTTACTACTCATTGCGAAAAGGCCTCGCTTCGAAGCAAAACAAACAGATGAACACCTCATCAGGCACCTCCCTGATGACCCTGCTGAAGGTGACGGCAGTGGTCACAGCATACTACTACAACTACCGCTCCGAAAAAGTGACAGCAGCCGTCTCTCTTTTGGAATGGCAACGGAAAACAAAGTTATCCAGATCTCAATTCGTTACAACTGTAACCATCTCTGTTAATACATGCCATCACCGGTGAACAATCCAACGGAGAAGGCTAAAAGAAACATCCAGATACGGATACAGAACTAATGTCACAGGGGAAGAAGCTACAGTCTCGGAAAGAAATGAAGCATACAACAGCAGTCAACAGCAAAGCAGCAGCTACAGATTATCACAAGGAAGCTGCTGAAATAGATTCAGCCCCCCACGCATTTCGGGGGCCTGTTTCAGAGTTAACAAGGCACCAGCACCTGGTGCCGAATGGCGTCCCTGGAAAACTTGAGGACAGAGTCAGCTTCTTGGACGAACACACTGACAATCAGTGTCTTCGATTATTCGATAAGCACTACAATTGTCGAATTTATTCGCAGGCCAGCTTGGTGTCGAAGCTGCTCAGGCAGATGGCGAAGGCCTGGAAGGCGGACAGCGGGTAGCAGTAGTCCATGGTGAAGATGTCCTTGCCGACCTTCCCGAACTGCAGTAAGACCTTCTCCTGGTCCGGCGGAGGTGGACCTGGAGCTGGAGCTGGCGGTGGCGGGGCTGCCTGCGACGGGGTCGGGGCTCCGGCGGCAGCAGGCTGCGTCGTCGCGGCGACTAGTTGGAAGTTCTTGACCGAGGCGACAGTCACCCGGCCCCGGAAGTTGAGGCACCAGCACTGCAGCTGCTCGTGCCATCTCGGGGCCTTGTTGCGGAGGACCAAAGGTGTGTCCCTGCACTCTTCGTCGTCAGCGTCACTCAATGCCTGGCCTCTGCTAACAATGTCGTCCCCTGTTACGGCGTCGGAGAACCGGGAACTGAAGAAATGCATGGAGTGGTCCATAGTAGATGGCTTTGACAAGGAGACGCTGCTGAAGGATCCACCGACAGTGCGGGCACCGATGTTATCTGGCTGGCAAGGGACACTGCCACCAGCCTCAAGGCATGAAGCTGGGATGGAGTGCATTACACAGTTCATCTGCCTTGGGCCTCGAGTTCCCAAGACATTCAGTTCATATGAGACTTGCGCTATGCTGTACCGGCTGGAAGAAACCTTGGTCGACCCCTGCTTGGAGTAGAATCTCTGGCTTGTTTTCCCTGCCACTGCAGGACTAGTTGCATTGTATGGTGGCTGAGTATCGTATATTACAAATTTTGTGCCAAGGAAATTTGACCTGAAATCCAAAAGGAGACAACATACGTCAGATTTAAAAAGCAATAAAATGGCAAATTAAATTACTGTTAATTCTGAAAATAAGATAAAGTTTACTGAAGCTAGTGCAGCAGTACCTTAATTTCCCAATGTATGTGTTGTTACTGGCAGACCTAGATATATCACCAGAATTTATTGATATTGTATATTCTGTATATGTTGGACGGCAGTTCCTTTTGGCTGATAGAAGGAATTTTCCATTTTCGGCAGGGACAGCTGTAGAGATGAATAATATAACATGTTAAATAGCAATACTGGTAATAAAAAATTAATCAAGTAGACGAGCAAGAAAAACATGTATTTCTGTCTCCTTTTTTCTATGGAATGCTGGGCCTGATACTGTGACAACTATAAAATCATGGTGAATACATAGAGACCATTCAAATAACAGCAAAGCAATTGATTAGTTTATAACAAGCTGGAACGATCATACAGGTAAGAGCAAAAAGGCATTGTTCCAGATGAGTTGAGAGAATAAAAAATGCTTGCTGCCGTTAATCGATCTAACAAGAACAATTAGCAACTGTGCATACTAATGCTTTGATTATTACAAGTTGAGAACCTATGGTTTTCAAAGAAACTGAAAATAAGGGCATACTGGAATACTGGACAATGGTTCTCAACTTTGTTATGTATGGGTTCCAAGGAGGGCAAAGAAAGAAACTGAGAATGAATTATCAAGATTGCTGAAAGAAGATGTGGTTCTCAACACAAAGCTTGTCTGTGCATGTGTACAAAAATATGCAACACAAAAAACATTAATTTTGAATCAAAACAAGAAAACCATTGTATCAAGAATTTCTCAAGTTTTTAAGTTCTGAATACATCTAAGATACCAGACTTTTATCGAAACTTCCAATAGTCCACACAGCAATGAACTTACCAGAGCTAAAGCTAAGGTACAGATTGTAGATTTGGGTAGATTTATCCCTCTTAATGAAACACTGAATAGTTCCATCTCGAGGCCCAGGCTGTAGACAGAAGAGGAACAGCAGGATCATATTAGTTTATCCAAAATATAATTGGTATAACAATACTGGACATAGGAATATTGACAAAGCTAACAAATCAGGATAGATGGATAATAAGGTAATAACATAACTGAATGATTACCTGCTTCAGGGAAACAGGAAAAGTGATTTTCCCAGAAAACTCTGGGCTCTTGACAATCTCTCTACACATCTCTCTCCATGTTCTGCAGACAGCTGCACAAGAAACTACATGCTTCCTAGAAGGCCATGTATCCTCACTGGTCTCCAACCTCTCAATCACATCTCGAAGTAATTCAGGAGGCAAGCTAGCCCAGCAGCTGCTCTGTACCACAGGCACTGGGTCATGCAGCTCATGGACAGCACCATGAGATTTCCCTCTGCGATGACTCAGAAACCTGACCTCGAATCCCCTCCTAGACAAGCTCCCGAAACCATCCCTTACATCACGCACGATGCTACGGAATGACATCTACTCCAGAAGGCAAGAACTCTGCTGAACTACCAAAAAGAGCCTCCTAGATAAAGGCAAGCATCTCCCTTAAACTCAAGAAAAGACCTGGAGGATAAAATTAGTCTGTCAGTAACAATTCAAAAATACCCCTGGAACAGGGAAAACATTTATTCCGTTCAAAAAAAACAGGAAAAACATTTAGTTAGCAATATCCATTTCTGACATCTATTAACCTACCTTGAGGAAAAATGAAATATAAAAAGTAGCTCATATAGGTAGTATTTGGACAATATGCCATACAAAACCACCATAATATCGACTCCAACCCATCACATCAGCATAGCCCAAAAAGACACCCCTAAAACACTACCGGGCACTAGATAGCTACTGTTTCTACTATTAGCAATTTGGTATCCAGATTTTAGTCACCGTGATTAAACCATCATACACCACTAATTCTATGACAACCTATCATCAAGGGCAAAACCCTCAGGTTCAAGCCAAAGTCACCATCAATAAAGAACAAACATGTTCCTTCCCCTAGTATGTCCACCAACCCACCACCACCTCAATTTACTAACCGTACCATCCTGAAAGCAATGACATTTCAGTACAGTTGGTTGGATGGACACTCGATTTGGTCAGGATCCCACTACGACGACGGAAGCAGTGCGCTAAGGCTTCGTTTAAATCCAGGCGTAAAGTTTTAGTGTCGTATTGGTGTCACATGAGGGTGTCTTCGGATAATAATAAAAAAATAAATTACAGAATCCGTCAGTAATCCGCGAGACGAATTTATTAAGTCTAATTAATTCGTCATTAGCACATGTGTTACGGTAGCACCACATTGTCAAATCATGGACTAATTAGGCTTAAAAGATTCGCCTCGCAAATTAGTCGCAAACTGTGCAATTAGTTATTTTTTTAGTCTATATTTAATACTCGCATGTGTCCAAAGATTTGATGGGATAGGAAGCAAACTTTAAGGGAGGAACTAAAGAAGGCCTAGCTTCCACTAGTAACCACTACAGAAAAAGAAAAAAGACAAGACAGTACAAAAATAGTAGAAGCATATGCATCACATGTAAATATAACCAATAAAGCTCATATCAGACCCAACTATAAATGCTATAGGGACTGCATTAAGAGAAGCAGTTCAGACGTAACTCAGAAGCCACACGAAAATGACCACGGGCACAATTATTTAACCCGGGCAGGGGTAGAACAACACCTAGTATTGTGTTTCACTACATTCTACTGTATCTTCGAGGAAGGCTGCCCAAAAAAGGAGTTGAAAATCTTTCTCTAGCAACCGCATCCTGTACGAAACATAACGAAGTGAACAGTCAAAAGCGCCGCCTTTTCACACAAATCGCGCCAAATTTACCTAAACTGAGCTACTAGTATCCATCAGCATCCACCAAACCCACTGAATCGGTAGGAGGAAAGAGCTAAAAAACCTCTCTTTTCCGCGTGAACCAAACTAAAAACCCGCATCAACGTAAGCCCCCCTACAATCGGCGGAGGCGGAGCACGGATCTGTGTGGCACGCACCTGGAGCTGGAGCTGGAGCTGGACTGCGGAACGGCGCGGCGCGGCGGGGCCCGGAGCCTGGCCGAGCCCGGGCTACGCTAGGGCGCCGGGCGGGATTCCGAAGGCACCATCCGGATCGGAGGGAGGGGACGGTGGTGCGCGAGCCGACGACGGAAGGGAGGAATGGGGAGTGGTGGGGAGCCTGCCTCTGCCTGGGGGCTGGGGGGGGTTGGGAACTGGGGAGGCGAGGCGGAGGAGCCGAAGAGGAAAGGAAAGCGGTGGTGGCGTGGTGGCTCAGTGGCTGCATGAGCCAGCGGTGGTACACGGGTGGGCAGTGGGCGCAGACAGCCACCGCACAGGGCTGGTGTGCGCGTAGCGGATGCGCCGCTGCCCGTGTCATTTTCTGTAGATGTCGAGGACAACGGAACGGGAGACGCGCTGGCAGTGGCACATCACGTAGGACAGGAGTAGACTTAGAGATAGCCGTTGGGCGTTGGCTCTTGTCAATTTTTTAGGGGCCGGTCAAATTTTTAGACTGCAATGCAGCCAAAATTCCATGGCAGGCTAAAACTTGGCTTGACTTTCGGTGACGGATAAAAAAATGAACTAAGAGCGGATTAAACAATATAAAAAGTTACTAAAACATTTGCTAGCTGAAACTAATAGGAATAATAGAAGTATCATCATCTATTCCAAATTATAGGCCGCTTTGCTTTTTCTAGGTATGGCCTTTACTGTGTATCTTTTTTCTTTAATGATACTAGAAACATACCCCATGCGTTGTTACAGCAACTACTAATTTGGGATGAAATTAAACTATTCATACAATTCTTAGAAAGGGATTAACTATTATAAATTAATATTAAAGGATAGTGTGTCACACTGGTGTGGCTAATTAAATATATGTTAGCGGTTGATGTGTCTCGTTGATGTGGATATCATAATTGCTTGTGCTAGTCAACTTTAATTGCAAGTGACAGTGGATTGCTGATGTGGACACCTTGCATGTCAAAATAATATTCTAATAGGATTTAGGATTATAAGAGTGTTGACACCGTTTTTTGCACGTGTCAAAATGATCAGAGTGGGCTAATCGGCAGGAGGAAAGTTACTGTATACGCTGACAGCCGATGAAAATCAGCTTGTAAAGATGGTTGCCGATGAATGGCGGTGATCGATGGAATGGTTGATTTAGACTCGAGGCGTTCTTAAATAAGGTTGGAGATGTTATTATCGATGCCGATGAAGATGAAGGCTTGAAAACATCGCCGATAAACGGGAAGTATGCCGATGGAAAGGAGGTCGGTGAGAATTCCATCGTAATTGAGGCGGACGGGGAAATAGATAGGAGTTGATTTCCTTTTCTATATTTGTTAGAGTATGATTCATGTAAGAGTCACGTGTTTCCTTAGATATGGACTTGGTGTCCTAGTCGTATTTGGTTATGTCTCTTTAGATCGGGGTATAAATATAGATTGAGGGCAATGTAATATATATCAATCAATATCAAAATCAATTTTACTCCTATTTGCATCTACTTACTTTTCGACTTCGTCAATTTGCATATTTTTCCTTTTTACGAGTTCTCATTGATTGGCGAGTTGCATCGTTTGATGCAACCTTCGGCAATTCTCGAGTTCAGCGTGAGTACCTCTTGGCGTGACTTCCAGCGTATCGCGTTGTCGGGACCAAAGTGCTCAGATCTTCATCCTTGTCGATTAACAGTCAAATCGACCGCACGCTTTGGATATCGATTCGGGTATTAGCCCTTTGTGTTTGCAGATCCACTTTTGGCCAAGAGGTACTCACGCGGAACTCGAGAATCGCCGAAGGTTGCACTGAAACGATGCAACTCGCCGAATCAATGAGAACTCGTAAAAAGGAAAAATATGCAAATTGACAAAGTCGCCGAAAAGTAAGTAGATGCAAATAGGAGTAAAAATTGGTTTTGATATTGATTGATATATATTACATTGCCCCTCAATCTATATTTATACCCTGATCTAAAGAGACATAACCAAATACGACTAGGACACCAAGTCCATATCTAAGGAAACACGTGACTCTTACATGAATCATACTCTAACAAATATAGAAAATGAAATCAACTCCTATCTATTTCCCCGTCCGCCTCAATTACGATGGAATTCTCACCTCCTTTCCATCGGCATACTTCTGTTTCATCGGCAGTAGTTTTCAAGCCTTCCTTCATCTAAGCATCGACAATAACATCTCCAACCTTATCAAGAACGCCCGAGTCTAAATCAACCTTTCCATCGATCACCACCATTCATCGGCAACCATCTTTACAAGCTGATTTTCATACGGTTGTCAACAGATATCTGAACTTTCCTCCTACCGATTAGCCCACTCGATCATTTTGACACGCAAAAACGGTGTCAACACATGCCCCCAATTTCGGAGTATAAAACCATTAATGTCTCGAAATTTACTCCAGATAACGTTTGTCTTCGCCTAATTATCGTAACTCATCCTCCAAGCCAAAACTTGATCTCGTTATCAAATCTAATCAAATCTAGTCCCGATTCACGCTCCTCATTAAATATCGCACAATTTCCAACCACTCTTGCCACGATTATGGTTAAGATACCGAAACAATAATCCATCGACAAGATCCTAACATAATAATGCCGCCATTTTCAGAATTAAAATATCCTGTACCGAGATCTCTTCCAAGTCATGATTACTTGCCATCAAATCATCTGTACAATCCCTTGATTATCGTGCGAACAGTTACCATATCCATCTGAACCACCTCGACCCACATGCGCGCGGCATAGAGATAAGTCCAGAATACCCCTACTCCAAGCGGCTTGTAAATAGATTTCTCCGGAACGCTCGTCTTCTACCCTCAGACTCCAATCTTTGGCATTCTCTCTTTCCGGCGGTGACTCCGACGAACAACTGCGCGACCTCAACCAACAAGAACTTTTTTCCAGCATCAACCTCAAGTCTCCAGCTCATGCCCCCATCTACCTCAAGATAATGGCAATCAACTTCGACGTCCCTGCGGTTCGTTCCACTTCCGTTACTTTTTACCTCGATTCCTCTGGTCTTTGCGAGTTCATACAGTTGATAATTTTTCTCTTTTTCTTTGTTCTTCGGATCCTCTAAACTTAGGAACTTTGCAACAAATTAGTTATTCCAACCGATCAGCCGCATTTCCAATGCCTAGGACCAATGGGCAACCCAGATCCAACTGATCTGATTAATGCAGAGGTTAACAGAATCCCTTTTAGAGCCCAAAATTTCTCTCTGAATTTATGGAAAGATACATTCCGATCTTGGCCCAAAACCACCAAAGGGTGGAAAGATTGGTACTTGAGGGTCAACAGGTCGATGCAAGTACACTGGGCAGAACGGAAGCTAGACCAATGCATTAGGCTATCCATTGCCGATATGTAAAAGAACGAGTCAATGATGATTGCAGCTGCTTACTTCTGGCCAGACACAACAAACACTTT